TCTCCTGCATGCAGCATGTGTGTGCGCTTTTCGGTTTCCTAGTAACCCGCGCCTGTGCTGGCGCTCCCGAGCACACAAGCGTGTCCGCGCAGCGCGCACTGGTGAAGCTCGTGTGGGGAGCTCGCGAACACGCAAGACCAGAGCATCAGGATCATACGCGCAGGAAAAACACCAGAATGTGACTGGAGTGTAAAGGATGAAGGATGCGTTCGCTGGAAAAGGTCACACGAATTGCATGAAGAGCGGTGGAACGAAATCTGAACACAGCTGCCACGGATTACCACTGACACACACGCATCACGGCTTTTTTTTAGGGAACAGGAATGCCAGGAATGGGGGATTTGATATTTCACCAAAGCAGGTGAGTTGTTTATGAGGATAATGCTTGTTTATGAGGAGAAGTTATTAGTCACCATATACGAACAGACTGTAGAAGGCGGTGCGCACCGCTATGTCCAAGATCTCTTATGTCAGGATTGCCACATAACAATTGGGTGAACTTGAATGTTCCTTGCGTCTGTGGTGTGGAGATGTGCAGTTCCGTAGATGAAGAATAGGTGAAGCGGTCTTGTTGAAGTGAACTAGGCAGGCTGCGATGCCGGTAAAAGTAACAGGAGATGAGGTTGAGGATCTCTTGCACTTGTTACACCCCATCTGCACTGCAAGCGAGCGTCGCGACGCGACAAAACTAGAACGCTCCCAGTAAAAGCGCGTAGAAGAGCCAGCGGTAGAGCTTTCCAGTAGTGTCGCGTCCCGTCGCTCGCATAAAAAAAAAAAGTATTTCATTGGCAGACTTGGTACCGACGTCAGGATTCCATCCTCTAAAGACGCGTCGCGCGCTAGCGGTCTGCACAGTTTCCTTGATTTTAGTAGTTTTGTCGCGTCGCTAACAGATGGCGTGTCATTTTAAGCGTCTTCCATGTTGCGTTCACGTTAAGCGTGGATTCCATTACGAGCTGACCACTGGGTTTATATTTTCACTGAAGATGTCTGTTGTAAATCCATTTTCAACAGTTTGCAGTTATTTCACAATTATTATTATTATTATTATTATTATTATTAATAAATGTTGAAATCATGGGTTTTATATGTGTTACGTGTGATATGTGCACATATACATGCATGTTTTAAAAACATATTTCATAAAAATTTCCATATATTTGTGTAAGGTAAAATGTAGGCCTATATCTCGAGTCTGTAACTGATCACCATTTCCTTTAAGATTTTATAATTGAATTAAAACATTTAAATCGTCCTGCTGTGTGACAAGTACATTTTTTAAAAGTACAAATATGTAATATGTAATATGTCTCAACTAATATGAGCTCATAAAAACTGCATGTATGAAAATTATAGAAGAAATGTTGTTTGAAATAGGTCTAAATTGAAACTGCTTGCCCTTTAGTGATAGTTACATACAGTACATTCAACAGATAATCTTAATCTTAATTGGTTGCTTCATATGAACAAAAATACTGCAACTTTCAAAAATGACATGTTAAACTGGCTGGTGGCTGCTCATATTTTCATTTAAGACAGTCTCGATTGGCTTTGCAGTTTTTATTTCAAGGACCAGGCTGTCAAACTGTAGTTTAAAATGACTTGGGGGACGATTTGCACTGAATTGCAAAGCATAGAGAGAGAGAGAAAGAGAGAGAGAGATGTGCCTTGGAGTTGTCATGGCGATTTGGTGAATAAGCAATTGTCCCTAAAAGCAACATAATAAAAGGGATTGCTGTTGTCATTCCCTATCATTGAAGAGCATATTTCAGCTCTCACTTCGAGAAGGGTTAGAGTTGGGTTAGGGTTAGGCTTATTTCTTTGAGAGAAAACACACTGCAATTTAAGTGATTGTGATTGGTCCAAGTGGATGGTATCTCCAAAGAAAGCCTAATTCCATAGCCCTGCCATTCTTTATCTTGTGGTTTTTTACGGAGGGAACCTATGTGCTCTGGCATTTAGCGTCTTGAAGGATTATGCATGGTCCTGCTTTTGAATTTCCTCTCTTTGCCAATGTCTTTATTTGTATTTTGGCCTCGTAGACTGGTATTTTTGAAGTAGCCGCTGATTTAAATCCATTCTGAACGACATATCCGAGTTCTGAGCTCTTTGCATCTTTGAGATGTCTGCTTTTAAGTTAACGAAACATGTCGTTAGAAACAGGCTGGTCTTTTTCATATGGACTAGATAAATCCAAAACAACTGTGGCGATTTATTACTTACTTGCTGCTCTAGTGTATTTTCATGACAGTGTTATTTATTGTTACGCATTATTATTCATGGCCATTCATTATCTTTTTAAAATCAATGTACCAACCAACATTTACAGTACAAGAACAGCCTGCACTTTTATGCTTAAATAAATAAATAAATACATAGGCTACATACATACATTCATACATAACTAAATGGTTAAAGCATTTTTTTTTTCTAGTTAAAAAACATGATTTAAACAAGACGAATGCTCAAGAGAAGCAAAAAGTATCATGGTTTTTAGTAACATGGTCAATATATCTTGAAAATGTTATGCTGCAACAAATTATTGCTAGCTGCTAGGTTTTCCTGTTTTCATTGTTACTACAATTTTCCATACACTGAATGATTGAAACACTTTGATGTCATGCTTGAAAACAGAACCGGAAAGTCAGAAAACAAGAAAAGCCCCATAGCATCAATTCTAGTAGTCCTACACTGTTAGATCAAATCAGGTGATCTGTTCTCCGAATCACCTTTATTGACCTCCATGGTTGAAAAACACTGGACTATTTCAATCTCTCAGATGAAGGTCACTCAGAAGACAGTAATTCATCTGCCCCTGTGTTTCAGCTTAAAGTGTTTGAACGTAAAGTACTGCAGGACCTGCTAGCGAACTGAACGCAAATGATGACTGATGTGGTTTTCTGTGTCAATCTGAACTGAATGAATGTCTTGTAGAATTGTTATTTTTATTTTTTTTCAGGGATGAGTAAACACTCATGCATTTTTTTTTTGACATTCCAGACAGGGTTACATTTAATAGCTTTATGAGTATATCATGAAAATATTACATTTCACTCAAAAATCTAAAGAAAAAAGAAAAGCAAAGAAAGAAAATATTTTTTTATTCTATTTTGCATTGTAATTTTATTTTCATGACAATTAAACAAATTTACCCTCTAAATTACTATAATGTGTTTGATATTTAACATATTAATTTGTTTAATTCTTCTCAATGATGTACCCAAACTATATACTGTAATAAAGTACAATTTATTTTATTTAATCATCATAGCAGTGCGACAAATAATTTTAACGGAGCATTAAAGCAAAGAAGAGTATAATTGCATACTCAGAACTTTTGTGGAATAAATACTACACTGAAAAAAAAAACCTGTTGGATTAACATAAAAAAAATATGTACATCGGTTGCACATATTAAAGTTAGATTTACTCAACATGATTTTTATATGTTAAAGCTACATAATTTATGTTTGTTAAATGAACATGATTTAAATATGTTAAAGCTATAT